GACCAGGCGGTGTGTGAGTCTCAGGTAGGAAGGGTCTAATGCAGCAGGGTCAAACATATTGTGGGGAGAAGGCCATGGCTGTGGCAGGGAAGGGACAAGTGCACTGGGGAGGAACTGCCTTTGCAGCTCTGACTGCAGATTCTGCCTCTCTTCTTAGCTCAAGGGACTCTCTCCCCACCCACCTCTTTCCTTAAACAGCAAGAGGATGTGTTCCTCTCTGGCAGGAGCAGTCTAGAGCCTGTTCTCTGGAGGTGGAAGTGGCAGAAGCAGCAGGATGGGGAGCATGGGTGAGGATGATACCCAGCCCTGGTGAGACTTCTGCTGGAGAGCTTGGCCATGGTACTGGAAACCCCAGGAGGGAGAGGATGGCAGGGTCCTGGGAGGTGACATGGCAGTCCTGTGGAGAGGACACAAGGAAGGGGACAAGAAGCCTGATCCTTCCCAACTCAGGACAGTTATGGGAGAGCTTCTGAGGCTGTGCTGCTCTTCATCAACAAAACTGTCAGGGAGGACGGGTGCTGGAGCAAAAGCAGTTTTAAAATTAGGTCATGACAGAATGCTTCTGTAGGGGAAATGCCCTGGGTCACAACAGTGTGAAGCCAGGGAAGCCCAGGGGTGACAGCAGTTTTCTGCTACCCTGTATCTCTGAAAGCCGCCTCTGCTCTGGTTCGAGATGAGCCACAGCAGTCCTCAGGGAGCGGATTAGCGGCTGTTGCCCTGTGATGGGAGGCAGGACTGGTGGGCAGGGAAGGGTTGGTCTCCGTCCTTACAGTCCTGAGGTGTTTCACTGTCCTGTGCACAGTGGGTGTAAATGCCTCGATGACCAGGGGCTGAAGGAGTTTGTGTTATGAAGGTGAGGGGTTACAGGGTTCATGCACTGGGAGACGGCTGTTCTGGATTTCTGCAAGGCAAGCTGTTCCACTGGCTGGAGGTTAGGGATGAGAGGCAAGGGGGAGCTAGACGTGCTTAATTGCCTGTAACTAATCAGGCATGTACACTCATCCTTCCCCTCCCTGTTCTGAAGAAGTACCCTCAGCCTCTCTCCTGATTCCTGTAGAGCCAGCAATGAGGCAGTTTATACAGACATGGACACAGACACTGTGAAGTGCAAAGCATTGCCTGCCTCATGCTCAGTCCCTGTCAGCACCAGGACTGGCACCATCAGGATGGTCATAGTCTCTGCACACTCTCGGCATAAGAGCTATTAAAAAATGAATAGCAGCTGTGACAAACCCCAGGGATTGTTAAAAGAAGGACTTAGAACTATTTGTTGCAAAATCACATAGTATTGCTGGGGTATAGTTATTGCTGGGACCCTGAGGTGGGAAAAGGATGTAGGATCAGGAGTTTAAAATGATGTGTGGTGAGTTCCTTCATACTTAATACTGGTTTTCAGCATCTTGGTACCTGGATTTTCAGTGGAAGTAATTAACTCTGCCAGACTAAGAATTTTAGATCAAGTTGAACAGAGCTAATTTTGGATCAAATCAGAGCTCTCCTTCACAGGGAAAATGCTGAAGGCACAATTCCCAGTCCTTATAGTGACAGTGAGTAAAAGGCGATTAAGACAAGTTCTGGGGGAAGCTCGTGGCACCCATTGTCATACTCAGCTGCTCCTGTTGAAAAACTTCAGTTTCCCAGTAGTAAGAGCATGCCCCTGCAGGCATCCCTTCCTCAGGAGCCCATCACAACTGCTGCTCCTCAGAAGCCCGTAGTGGGAGAGGGAAACTGCCTGGAATGAAGCAGTGGGCAAATTTCCATGCATCCTCTCTAGCCTGTGAGCTGGCTGCTCTTCCAAGTCACTGTGCTGGGGAGGTTGAACCCCTGGGCTTAAAGCAGTGATCATGATCCCCAATTCAGGGTGAGACTCTGGCTTAGAGTGAGACACGAAAAGCAAACATGCAGCGCTGCCCTAGGGAGCCCAGTTTGTTGGCAGCATTAGCAGTTAGGTGGCTATATTAGCATTTTAATCAAATAACTAGATATCCTAGAATTATATGTTTGAATCTCTGTAGGCTAAACATAGCTTCAGAGGCAAATAATTTCCATGTAATTTTAGGGTGGAGAATGTCCTCTGGGTAACAGCTGCCTGCTCTGCATGGGCATTAAAAATCCTGTGGCACTTTATTGAAAGCAGGGGTTTGTCTCAGAGGCCATGCTTGAAACATCCCTCAGTGCGCTGGCTGTCTGCCCGGCTGTAGTCCCAACACAGCAGTTCAGGGGGACACACTGCAGCTCCTGTTCCCTATATTAACTGTGGAGTGTCATGGGAGCCTTGATAGAAATATGGACTGCTTGCCCAAGGTCACAGCAAGGATGACCTTGCTGGCATGGGTCTGAGTGTTTTAGCTCATGTGGTACAGTGGGTGCCCAAGCCCTGGGAAGAGTAAGACCTTTGAGGATAGGGAAACTGTTTGCCCAGTCACAGGCTGGCCCAAATCCTGCCTCATCAGCAATATCTGACAGCTGGCTGTATTGACTGGTGGAAGTCCACTGGTTGTTGCAGTGGACATGTGTCTACAGGCCCAGGTTCAGTATGGAACGTTCTCAGGATGACATCCAGGCTGCACTAGAGCTGACTTTACATGTTTTTTTCCCCGCAGTTTTTTATGACATCAGTGATGTAAAAAGTTCTAATGATAAACCATCTGGAATAGTTTTTTTTTTCAAAAGGAAAGAATGAAATAGATGTGAGCTGGCAGGAGCTTTCAGAGAGATCTCCCCCACCCCCCTCTGTTTATATATTATGCGGAGAATTCTACAGGAAAATGGGATATACGAAGTTGAGCATTTCATGACAAGTTGTCACATTCTGTGCATAAATTTCTGTAAAGTGTTAGGCACCAGTGCTGGGAGGAGATATTAGGTCACTCATTGCTAATCCTGGAAAGTTTAGGGGACTTTGCATGTCCTTTGCAAGTGCCCCTTTGATGGAATAAACATCATCTGTCCAGAATTACTCCTTCATGGTGTATATAACCCATCCATTTATTTGATAAAGGTACCCATAAAAAAACCCAGAAATGACCTAACAGCACTCCCAGTACTAATATTAATTCAATCCTGCTGTTCATCTTTTTATCTTCCAGCTTTCTGCTGCATGAAATAATGAAGAACTCAAAGTAATACTCAGTCCTTTTTAAAAACACGTTATGAATACTAACCTTGATTCCTCTTCTTCCTGTTTTCAGGAGGTTAAATATCATTTTTCAGAGGATTTAAGTACTTCGGGTGCATTTGAAGGTCCTTGAGTGACAAATGTTAAGAACCTCTGAACACGAGCTCTATTAAACACTCCCCAGTGCATTTGACGGATGTATCAGAACCAGATTCTGATGGTCCCAACTCCAGCCATGGTCTAATCACCCCTCTTTCAGATGCTGTTTGCAGGTGATGGCAGAAGAGCATCACATTTCTGATGACTCAGCATTTTCAGGAGAGGTTTGCTTTAGGACACAGCTCTTCTGCAGTTCTGAGCTCCCATATTACTCCATCATTCCTCCTTAACAGTGCATGGCATCGTCATCTTTGCTTCCTAGGAGGAGGGTAATACTGCATCAAGCAGTGGTATAGGGGGTGGTTTGTGGGGGAAAATGGATGTTTTTCTCTTAGCAGTGTTAGGACAATTTCAGCCTCTACTTTCTCACTCACCCTTCCCCTGCTGTTTCATGTAAACCTCTCATGAAAGCAACAGTCTTTCTAAAGGTGTGTTCAGAGTGTTACTGCTTGAGCCCACAGGGACAGCACATCTTCCACACAGATTTCACCCAGGGAATCTGGACAGTGCTCGTGCACAGATGCTGGCTGGATGCAGGTGAGAGTTGCTAAGGTGCCCAAACCTGCAGTTTGCCCAGTGGTACCCTCAGAAGGCAGTAAGTACTCATAAAAGTTGGAGCACTGCTTTGTAGAGCCCAGGGCATATTTCCCTCTGACTCTATACAACCACTGTCAGGTAGAATCCCCCAGGTAAACCCCACTATTCTAAGGGCCCTCTCACAGCCTGCCCAGCCCACAGAAAAGTGCCTGGTGTAGAGGACTGCCAGCAGCATGTACAACATCACGTATACAGGCTCTTCACAGACAATGAAAACAAGGCAGAACTGCTCTAATCACCCCAGAACTGAAGCTAAAACCCCTCTGTCAGCTAGTTCATTCCCACTGTAGAGGTCAAGATACAAGCCTCAATCATAATATTAAACCTACCCCCTCTCCCTGCCATGCTATATTGTCTAGGTGAGGAGAAAGGGGAAACTGTTCTCATTCTCTTCCAATTAATTAGAAATTGATGTGCGGGAGGGCTCATCCAGAAAATAACAGGAGTTATTATGTTTCATAACTGCATACAACTAAGGATGTGCTGCATAGAATTCAGAGTCAACAAGAGTCTCTGGTATCAGGGTCACGTCAGTACATCCTCTCTAACCAAAGTAAATCAGTTCAGCATGCTACCTGTGTAGGGGAGAGCTGCGTGGACCTTCAGACTTCAGCTCTCGGGGAAGGCTGGTCCTTACTGGCATGCACAGCAGTCCTTTCCAAATCTGAATTCTCAGTGCTATGTTTTCTCTTTGCCTTATTATGAATGCATGTGGTTAAAGGCTTTCCTCCTCCCTTTTAAAGATCACATTTAATTTCTCTCTTTTGCTCTAATGATTTAGATGAAATATTTAAGCTCTCCCCTGTAAATCCCCCTGGGGCACCTGCAAGAAGGGTGTGAGACCTGAGTGAGGGATGGTGAAGGGGCACGCACTGTTAACTAGTGGAGGCTGGCAAGCCCCTCACGCGTCAGCTCATGCTCTTGTGGATGGCTCTGAGGTCTGGCTTCACAGGAACCGATTCATGCTGGCATTTGGAAATAACCAGACTCTGGCAGCAACTCCCACTCTGACAGGAGAGAGCCAGAAACCAGTTTAATAGGTTGCTGCAGCCAGCGAAGTCCTCCGGTGAGGAGCAGTGAAGTGAAGAAAAACAAAGGCCACTCCAACTGCTGCCACAGCAGACAGTTGAGAGCAAAGAATCATTTTGTTGCATATAGAAGGCGGGAGTGAGGGAAAGAAAAGAGTATGAGATTAACCATTCTGTGATTCTATGGCATTTTTTACAGCTAATGGTTTCTTTCCTTTCTCCCCTTCCCATTAAAGGGGATGAAAATACACAGAAAGAATCCCACAGATTTTCATTCTTCTGGTAAGAAACAACAGCGCAGCCAAAGCTTCTTCCTCACATTAAGTTTTCAGAAGGGAAGCCTGTTCTGCTTTCTGTGGCTCCTCATTGCAGCGTTTTTCTGGCTCCAGCAACCTAATAGGTTGATTGCTGAGCCTCTTCTGTTTCAATTACTTTTGATTGATTCTCAGGTCTGTGTCAGCCGCTCGGTGCAGCCACCATCCCAGGAACAAATCTGCAGCAGCTGAAGGTGAAAATAGCTTCCATGAACACTTAGATGGGAGTTCAAGCATCTTTTCTAAACATGATGTTGCTGCAGCTTTCCCTCCAAAATATGTCCCTGGCCAGGGCTGCTTGTTCCTGCTCCTGATGGCTTGCTGAGATGCACTTAGCCTCAACAGCAGCTAGGAAGGAGGGTGAAAGGAGCTTTAATATCTTTAGGCTGCTCAATTGCGGTTGCTGTAGGGCACTGCTGGTACCCCCTTTATGAGAGGGGCTGTGGCCTGGTAGAAGTCCCTCTAGGTTTAGGGAATGGAGGGGGACAGGGAGAGGTGAGACACAGAGGCTATGAGTTCTGAGGGCTTGCTTTCTTGTTTGCGTTTTTACTGAAGGAGCAATGGGAAAGGGAAGGGAGAGAAAGGGAGCTGGGGAAACAGAGTGGAGGTGATGATGACTGGATCCTCACAGAAGCACCCAGCCTCTGCAGTTGCTTTGTACTCATCTAACTATTTTCTCAGCATTAGCACCCTCAAGCCTTCAGACTGGCAAAGGAGTAGTGAGGACAGATCTGTAGTGCTGCCCTGGCTGAGAGCTAGTCTGGCTTCCTGTGTCAAGTCAGAGTAGACTGAGAGCGAAAGCAGTCTGGAGGATTGGGGCTATTTGTGTCAACAGCAGGATTCTATTTCTGTATTTTTAATTTCCTACTGTTGCTGTGCAATCCAGCTCAGCATGGGATGGCAGCATCATTCAGGCTGGCCAGGACCCTGGGAGGCTCAGAGCAGGGTCAGCCCCAGGCCAGATGAGGCTGCTCAGGGTTCAAACCCCTCACGGTGGAGCCTGCGCAGCCTCGGGAGCTGCATGCTCTATTGACAGGCTGTCCTCACAGGGATGCTTTTTCCCCCTGCATCTAGTCTGAGTCTCTCTTGTTCCACATTATGCCTGTTGTCTCCTCTCCTCCTGCCACACACTGTGGTGCAGTTCTCAGTTCCCTGTTCCTGATGACCTTCCTATGGGTATGGGCAGGCCTCACATTTGCCTTTCTTTGATTGTCAGAGAAATACCTGGGCCTCAACAGTCTTTTGAAGGTGCTAGAGCGTGGCCTTGCAAGGACATGGGCCAGGTCTCTTGGCACTCTGGGATGCACCATTGAGCCTGATGGACTTGAAAAGAGCAAGATCTCTCAGGCAATACCTGAGTGAATGCCTGTCTGCTTGCTGGGTAGCTTTCCTCTGAGCCCAGGGGCCTGGGAGACCTTGCTGATGATGACTGAGATAGAGAGGGCATTGAGTACCTTAGCCTTACCTGTGCCCTGTTCTCCCCAAATCATGTTCTCTGTTCAGCAATGGGCCTGTATTTTCTCCGTTTCACCTTTATTGCTAATGTAGTGGTAGAAGCTCTTCTTGTCATCTTTGGTATTTCCTCCATGTGACAACTCTAGGTGAGATTTGGATCAAAAGTAACTATGGGGCACCCTCCAAAAATTAACCAACTCATCACAAAGAGCTGGGCTTCCATTCCCAGACTGAGGTGGGCTGATGCAACAGGGTGCTGCTTCAAATAACCATGGGGAGAACTTGTACTGCTGCCTAAGGCAGTGGGTGTGCAGTGGTGAAAGCTTTCATGCAGGGGAAACCTGGTGCACGCAGTGTTGAACTCAGAGCAGCTCTGCCAGGGACATGCCTGTCTCCTTGTGGACTGTCCTCAGCAGCCAGGCAGGAGGAGAGGAATGCTCATGTGCCTCCTGACTGGTGGGGTGGGCAGGTTTGTGCGGGAGTCATGGGTTCTCTTACAGTTAACGTGTCTTGTGGAATATACCCCCTTGTGTCTGTGAGGAGGAGTTGGCGCGGGGTAGCAGAGCAGCATTTGAGGAATGGGCTGACAGACGCCTTTGGGGTCCCCTTCCACCCTGAAAAGAGAGCTCTGTTGACACTAAGGTGATCCAGCCACACTCTCCTGCCCCATGCCCCACGAGCACAGTGCTCCTTGGGGTCCCACTGCAAGGGAACAGCCGGACTAGCCTCCCTCCACCCCTATCCCTCCGGCACCCATGGGTGGCAGGGCAGGAAACAGGCTGGGAGGGCAGGTTAATGTGAACGGACATGCTGTGAGAAATGGATACTGAATTATCCCCTGATCCAATAAAGCTCTCCACACACGCTCTCAGAAAAGCCTCGGTGAACAGGCAGGCCTCAGGAGCTGCTCAGCAGCTCAATAAAATCTGTCTCTGCCCTGTCAGATCGAAAAGGGAAACAAATGGCACAATTCCGGGCCTTCCCCGGAGGAAGCCTTGCTCCAGCGTGAACAGCTCTGCCTGCACCAGCTCCCTGCCTGCAGCCTGAGGGAACCACATCACAGGCAGCTGCCTGCAGCAGCACCCTCGCAGCTTCCTCCCTCCCTCCCTCCTTGACTTCCAGGCATTATCACAGGGAGGGGTTTCACCCCCCATGCATGACTGCTCTGAGGTGCCTGCTGAGCCCCAGCAAAGGGGCTGCAACAGGGGAGAGCGGACGGAGGGTTAGCCCCCTGCCATGAGCCCCAGCTTGCTTGGTTGTCTGAAGGTGGCTGCCCGGGTGGGAGCATCCTTACAGGATGTGTTTGCCTTTCCAGGGGCTGCAGTAGTACAAGCTGCCCTGCTTGGAGGAAGGGTTTAATCCTGTTACACTGACATCAGTTTCTTCTGCTGTCTCTGATGGGGGCTGTTGCACCTCTGCACACAGGTGTAGGATGATTCATGAGTTTGTGTGCTGTATCTGCACTCAGGTTGTGCTAATCCTGTTTAGTCATTTTTCAGTGGATTTCATTTAGATACCAGGCTGGGGCTCTGCATGCCCTTGACAATACCAAGCAGCACCATTGCTCATATTTAAACTCACTGACATAGCTGGTGATTGTGAAATTAAAAGAGACAATGACCTAAAACTCTTACCCAGCAGCAGTTTCCCTCCTGCCAATCACTGCTCTTGTATTTTCTGTCCCTTTTCAAAACCCAAGGAAAAGGGGCAGATTTTGCAGTTTACCTGGAAGACCACCAGGTCTGGGCTCTTCTGGACCACCCTGCATGCCAAGGATGCTCCAGTTGAGCTTGCATTGCTCAGAGGGGTATCAGGCATAACCTGCCATGGAAACCCGATGCAAAGCCACAGCAAACTCCTTGCAGAATGCAACGCAGGTAATGTGTGCCATCCTCACCCCTGTGAGCAACTCACTCATGCTCACCACAGCCAGAAATAGCCTGGGCTGCTAGGGCCCAGCACTCAGCTCTCACCTCCCATCAGTGACCACTTTCCATCTCTGACTGTACGCACCAGTTTGCTGCCTTGGCCTCTTTTGCTGGCTGGCTGAAGGAAAGGTCTAATCCCTGAAATGGCAGATGGAGAGAGATGTTGTTGTGTTTTATTCCATGGCTTTTGATACTAAGCAAATAAGTCAACTGGCTTGCCACACTTTGATTTTAAACCTGTTACCTGAGCTGAAAAAACGGCTTCTATTAACACTGCAGCAATGGGGAGAAAAGGCTTGTCCTGCAGCTCTAGCTTAAAAATAAAACCAAAAACAACCACAGAGAAACAGCTTGTGCCCCTGCTACATGGATGTAGGCTTTAATTTCATCTCAGATTTCTACCATCATAACACTTGACAGCAAGTGTTATAGTTATGAGGACCCAGATTTGGAAGGGTATTAACAGTGTCTAATTTTCGTTGGTTTTAGTGAGCGGCAGGTGCATAAAAACCTTTACTATCTGGTCTCGGATTTCCACTACTATACTGTCAGAAAATGCTCCTTTTCCAGTAGATACATACTTTCCTTTATTGTTTTCAGAGACAACTATAGAAACGGGGCTTTGTGAAACCTAGCAAGTAATAGTAACTGGCTATAACGTCTAAGTAATATTAGCTACTCACAGAATAAATGAAAGATTAAAAGGCAGTAATCTCCTTCCCTCTTTGTTGCTCCCTATTAATGGCTTTCTAGCCTACATACTAAATGGTTTTCAAGGCAGTGTTCTGTTGCAGAAAATCTTCAGCGCTACAGTTTGAATTTACTGAGAGCAGAGAGTAGGTTCACTTGAGCAGGCAAGGCAAAATGATACGGAGTTTTGGCTTACGGGAACTCTGTCCCAGTCTAAATCACAACAATGCTTTCCACACAAGGTGGTCATTGATGGCACTTGAAACTGGGAGCAGACGAAAGCCTTTGAGGAGCCACAGGCAGTGCTCAGCAGTCCGCTCTCAGCAGCAAGGAAAACCGGTTTCAGCATTGCCTTAAATCCTGTCCTGTGTGGACAGCCCCGTAGCCACTGAGTTTCTAACTGGGGACATTTCCACCTTAGAAAATGTGCAGGATCTACAAACCAAATAGGTTAAAGCCCCAGAGAACTAGAAACAGAAGAAAAAAAGTACTTGGAATCCATCAGACATGGGAAATACTGAATGTGGGATGAGGAGCCGTGGCTAGGCCAGTCATTGCCATGTAATGAGGAAGGAAAAAATAAATCTTTTCAGCTCCATGACTCATAAAATTCTACTGAAATCAATCCAGGATTTTGCCAGTCATGAGCTATTCAGAAATCCCAAGGTCAGGCCAATGGAGTCTCCATCACACATCATCATCTGTTCTCTTTATCCCTGCACTGCAGACAGGAAATCAAGAGACAGAGCTTGATCACTGGAATATAGGCAAACATTTGGGCCCAGGCTGCAAAGTAATTAAGTGTGCATTAAGGCCCACTCCCATCCAGCAAAGCCCTTATGTACATGCTTTAAGTGCCCCTGGAGCTAGAGACACACAAAGAAACACTTAAATTCCTTCCTGGATCACTGCTAACAACAGTATAAATATTTTGGAATATATTTAAAGACTCTCTGGTCTGAACACAGCTCTTACTGCATAGACAGGAGCTGGACGAATTTGGATCTTGAAAGTCGCCACTATAAGCTGAGGTGCATGGTAGGTGCTGGAGGCAGACAGCAGGTATGGAAAGGGCAGCAGGACAGAAAAAGTGAGTGAAGAGAGGGCAGCCAGGATCTGCAGAGTTACAAGTGCATTTTATGTGCATTTAAGTTTTAATGTTTGTACTGAGATTGTTGCAGCTGTGGAAAGCTGAAAAAGCAGAAGCCAAAAAAATCCCCTCTTTTCTCCTATGATGTATTTTTTTCTTCTCTGATACAGCCTTCTAATTCCCATACAGGGGAAGGAGGGGAAGGACCCTGTGCAGGGTTTTTAACTCCTGGGGCGGCAGTACAGTCAGTAAATCAGTGACAATGTGGTTTTGGGGATGTATAACCCTTTGTATTTAAAAGCACACATGAACATTCATCCAATTAATATTCTTGGTACGAATGGCAAACGACTGCTTGAACTGCTAGACAGGGAGGAGGACCAGGTCTCTGCCCTGAAGAGTTTATAGATGAAATGTAAAGAGGACGGTGCTGCAGCGGGAGAGGGAACACAACATGAGCCGAGGCACAGTTGTTATTCCTGGCACACTCTGAAGCCTCCTTCCCAGTCTGTTGCCTGCCTTTGATGTGGATCATTCCTCCTTTATTGAAAAGCTTTCCTCCTGAGGTGCTCCAGAGCCTTTTGCGCTCCTGGTTTTTATTCTACCTTTCCCCGTGTTTCTTTTCTCCTCCCTACTATCAGCCCTCCTTAGGACATAGCCTAAGTCTGTCTCCGTGCTCCTCACTTTGTCCCTAGATAACTTTATCATGCCGCGCACTTCAGTGGTTGTTTCTGTGCTGACAACTCACGGGCCTATTTCCTCAGCACTACTCACTCTCCATTCTTAGCACCTTCTCTCCTTCCACCACCATCCCCTCACTGAGAATTTAATGTCTCTTCCCAGGTTGGCTCTAGGTCCTCTCCTTTCTTGCATGCCACCATGGGAATTGCAACAACCCTCCTATGTGTCCCAGAGGCTGTCTGACTAATGTGTCTTCTCTGTCCTCTTTGTCCCACACAGCAACATGGGCTTTGCGCTCCTACACCACTTGGGGAAATCAGTCCCCTTGGAAAGCTTGCCTTTCTTCCTGCTAGTTTGTCCTGGCAGGTCTGTCTGCCCAACAGAAAATGCACAAACCCTTCTTTTCAGCTAAATTTCATGCCCTTCTGAAAGAAAGGCCTCTGTTTAATCATTCCAGCAGTGTCTAAAACCCCTAATTCCTTCAACACAGTGACAAACAGTTCTGATTATTTGTAGAAAAGCTTGAAAAGCATTGAGCATATTTTATTGCCCATGAAAGGTGCCAGACTGGCAGCCATGGAGACTTGTCCTCTATTTCTCTCCAGAGCTGAACGGCACAAGCAATACACATTTGTCCAGGGCGTCTTTCCGCTCATGTTTTGAAAGGCACATGGTGGCCTATCACCAAGGGGTGATGGTACTTTCTCTTCAGTCTCTGAATGTATGTTCAGCGCCTGGGACACGAGTCAAGTACGTCATGTTGCTCCTGGGAGCCACTGGGGAAGCCCCCACTATGAAAACAACTGCTCCTCCAGAGGTGTGTGAAGCTGTGTCTGCCTGCCCTTTCTGGCAAGCCAGGTTTCATCCAATGTCAGATGTCTAAAGTCATCTTGGGGTGCCCATTTTCCTTCATTAAAGCAATAAATAAAGTAGATTTGCTTGGGAAAAAAACACTGGAGCTTCTCTTTTGTCACCAAAAGAAGAATGAGAAGATTAATTTTGAGCACCCTTCATTGCAAACCTTAGCCTTTACTGTTGTAAACCCACAGAAAAGCGGGATCTCATGGATATTATGTGCACATGAAGCAGCAGAGGTTGTGGGACAGCCCCCATTTGCCCCTGATGGCAGTGCTCTTCCAGAGGCTAAGTGCTGCAGCAGGACCGGGAGCATTTCTGCAGAGGCACCCTCCTGGACATGCAGGAGTTCAGTGCTCATCCCTGCTTCGCAGCAAGCCCAGAGTAATCATTCAGCTGAGAGGTGAATAGCTTGCAGCATTTCTACTGCTTTCCTTCTTCACATACGCCTCCTCCTGCCCCACTTTGCTGCAACACACACCACAGATGTGCAGTGACATTTTTGAATCATGCACTGATTTGTTAGGGTTATGCAAAGAGAATATTAAGCACTCATTGCTACTGTTCAGGCTGGGCCCTGTGTTTTCTCTATGTGCGCTGATGTTAAAAATACAAAGAAGCAAAACTTTCAAGTGCTGCCAGTTTGGATAGAGTTGTTTTTTCTTCCTGAAAAGAAGCCTAGCCTGGTTGGAGGACTTTCTTCTTTGTCAATAATTAAACAGCTCTGCACTTGTTGAAGCAGTCCTGAATGCAGGCACCAGGATCAGCCAGCCTTGACCACAAACGACTAAAACTTTCTACCCTGTCTACAGTATGGATTTTATTTATTTTTTCCCAAACCAAAAAAGTCTTTTTAGTATTAACCCTGTCATCTCCAGTGGCAACAGCAGACCTTTACAGCAGATGGGGTGCCAATAGCCGTGTGCATTGAAAGAGTTGTTTGGGTTTAGGGCGCTTTGAGCAGGGTTTCCCAGGAGGGTGCTTCCTAGAAATGAACTGGGTACAGCTGGTTTCTGCTTGCCTTTTAGAACTGAGGTAGCATTCAGCTGCTGCTAGAGATGCTGGGACTGTACTGCAAAACACCCATAGTGCAAACAGAGGGGAGGGATTTCTGTCAGTGGTTCAGATTTATATTTCCCTAGGAGTTCCTTTTTGAAGCACAGTAATGAAAGATCAAACAGTACCACACATTTTGGAAGTTCATCATATCCTTGAGGACGTTGCTGTGAACTGCAGTTGAAGATGGGCGTGGGAGAGTGTCAGTACAGAAACAAGAGAGTATTTGGCCTTTGGCAAAGGCCCCTGCCAGGCCTTTTTGTCTGGTCCAGAGCAGTCAGGGCAGAATCTCAGTAGAAGGAATCCTCTGCTGTCCTCTGCAAAGGACATGATTTATTTACTTCAGAATGCTGATGGGCTACAAGTCATCACTGTGTACCAGGCAGGGGAGCTGGAGGTTAATACAACATCTGATGGGAGAGTCCTGCAGGACCGAGGGCAGAAGAAGGGGGAGATTTCTGCCTCTGTTTTCAGGCAAAGCTTTCCTTCTCCTGCACCATCATTATTGTTCATCTGTTCTTTTGCCCATCATTTGGCAATGCAAAGAGCTCTTGGTGTGGGAAGGACCAGTTTCCAGGGGAAGGAGGAATGAGAGTAAGAGAGCTGAGGCATGGAGATGCATGCAGTCTCCTTTGCCCATGGGTACCAAACGAGGTGGAGGGTTAATTCAGCAGTGAGAAGCTAACATATAATGGCAGGTCCCTGAAAGGCAGCAGGTAAAGGAAAGCCTCAGGGCTGTACTGGAGTCACAGTGCTGGAGGGCTGGGGTCACAGAGAGAGCCCCACTTTGCCCTCAGACTCTGAGTCTAATGCTGATGCCTCCAGTCAGAAGAAAGCTCTGCTG